TTAAGGTTTTCATTATTGTTATTATGAGGGCAGCACAGCTGCTCGGTGCGCTGTCAGCAGACGGCTGTCTCTGAGTCCCAGCACTGAGACAAACAGCTCGGCTTTCTCCACAATCAACACTCTCTAAAAGAGATACTCTCTGACAGCTATGGCGAGATGAACCAAAAAAGAAACGCACACAGATATGCAGTCTTGCAAAAGTATTCAGACTCTTCACTAATGATGTAAATTACAAACCCATTTTTTCTCTGTTGATATTCTTATTTCAAAGCCTGAAACAAAAGACTCCAAAAAAATTACAAAAATATTTAATATTAATTCTGATAAAATAATTATAACATTTCTACAATAATTTAGAAAAAAATATTATATATATATATATATATATATAATTATCTGTCTATCTATCTATCTATCTATCTATCTATATCTTATTTAAATAACCCTTTTATTTTATTTTGTGTAATTTAGACAGATTTCCTTCAGGTCTATTCAGGTAAGTTATTAACATGAGCACTGTAATTTAAAAAATAATAATGTCAGGGATTCTGATTTGGATTAACATCAGATTGGACTAGTTACCTTTTTGTTCTTGAGCTGTTCGAGTAATAATATGGCTTGTCGCTTAGGATTATTCTAGTCTTTTTGGAGATTGAAACAGGCTCTTCTGCCGTATTTCCCTGTATTATTTCCCCCATGATCCATTCTTCTATTTTAACAAGATGCCCAGTGTCTGCTGATGAAAAACAGCCTTCAGCGAGATGCTATCACTAAGCATACTTCACAGTAAATGTGATGTTTTTTGCTGTGTGGGCAGTGTTAGATTTGCACCATACATATTACTTCAGATTTTAGCTGAAAAGTTTCATCTTGGCCTTATCTAACAAGACAAACTTTTCCTGCATCTCAACTGGGTCACAATTATGTTTTTGGCAAAGTCTAGACTTGCTTTCACATGTTTGTCTTTTTGAGTAATCATTTAAATGACTCAGATTTCCTTGTTTGGGGAGGTATTTTGAGAAATTATTACTTCTCGATAATTAAACCAACAATAGGCCACTGGGGCTGTGGCATTACTTTGTACACATTTTCTAAAATGCATTTGCTTTACTTTAACTTCTTTGGAATGCTAATTAGTCTTGATATTCATGGCAGGTTCACAACCTGAATAATGATGCCTTAACTGTGGGGTTTCATCCAGAAAACATGAAAATTACTTTAATGATTCAATGATAAAGGCTAATTGAATCATTAAAGTGCATCTGAAGTGTATCTCAACTGTATCTGAACCAAATACTTTTGCAGACATTTCATTTAGTATTTTTGTTCACATATAATAATAAAACAATGCTACATTAAAGGTTTCAGTGATAATATCACAGTAAAAAAAAATCCACCTACTTCAACTCAAAAACTTAGGTTCAGTTGCTTTTATGTATTGTCAAATTGGCTGTACAAGCAATTCCAACTTAATTATATTAATTATTATATTAAACTGATTTTAAAAATTATATTAAACTGATTTTTAAAAATCGAGTTGAATCTCGTTTAACTTTAAAAATAATTTGATGAGTTAGAGTAATGGGAAAAAATGTTGCCATGATTTCTTAATCTTTCTTTTCCAAGTGAAAAAGATAACACTATACTTGCTTTAAGCCTTTATGTATAATGAATTCATATTATTCACATTATGAAAGGTATTCGTAATGTACACTGCAATGCATTATACATTTTCATAAATAACTGTAACCAAAGTTAAAATGCATTATAATGTTTGTAGATTTATCTGAAATTGAAATTCGTCATGTGTTTGAATGCAATGTACTATCTAAAGGTGTAAATATGAATAGATAAATCTGATCATGTATACATTGTTCATGAGATCCTAAAATGCAATATAAATTGAATTATAAGGCATAATAATGACTTAATTAAAGGCTTCAAGTGTTACCAAAATATATTGTATTAAATTTCACTGTAAAATAAATTGCATAAAATGAAAATAAAAGGGCTTATGTATGATCTACAGTTCGGTAAAATAATCTGGATGATTTATAGGCCTAAATACTTCCGCAAAGCACATTTTCACAGACTTCCCAAAGGTTGAAAACAGTCTCTTGTTGATAAAACAGGCCTCTAATAGCTCATGACCTCAGCGCTGAAGCTTGCATTAACAGTAACCTCTCCTTGTGGGTGCGGGACCTATAACATCTAGCACTGGGTCTCAAAGGCCCCTGATGCTAAGGGCTTTACTCTTTGGGTGGCTGATGTGTGTATATTCTGCCCTTGAGTCACACAGTTGTTTGAAGAACACTTTTCAATGCGTTCCTAGTTCCTCCCTCTCTCCAGGCCTGGACATGCAGCAGACTAATTCAGTCATCTCTCTGTCTGTTTTGCTCTCTCTCTCTGTCTATCTGTTTTGTCTCCTGAAGGTCCCAGGTGGGCAATGTGACCATTGTGCAGCCAAACGACCTGTTATTGTCGGTCATGCTATGAGAGAGAGGCTGACTTTGGTGTTTTTTGTATGTGTTCATGTGTTTTGAACGCACTGCTTTCTGCCCTGTCAGTGTCGCTCCTCTTCAGCACATTAGTCCGTGCTGTTCCCTACGACTGCTTTGATGGTGAGCGCCGCAGGGCTCCGATCTCTGTTTCAGGTTGTAATTACTCTCTGGAGGGGCCTCACCTGGCTGTGGGCTCCAGGCATACAGAGAGAAAGAGAGAGAGAAAGAAAAGGAAAGAAGGTGAAGCTATGAAAAAACAGAAGATGAGAAAGAAAAGGTGAGGGAAAGAGGGTGAAACTTAAAAAATACAGTGGGGCCAAGAGTCTGAGAAAAAGTAAAATATAATTAAAAAACGATTTATGTATGTATGTCTCTGTGTATAAATATGTCTCTTTTGCTCACCAATGCTGCATTTATTTGATAAAATATACAGCAAAACTGTAATATTGTAAAGCATTACTTTAATTTAAAAGAACTGTTTTTTATTTCAATATATGTTTTTAATATATATTTTAAAATGTAATTTATTCCTGTGATGGCAATGCTGAATTTTTAGCTTTTTAGATTACATATTTAGATTATTATTAAAAATAATATAAAGAACAAAAAAACATAAAATAATATTTTTTATTAATTATTAAATTATATTAATATATTATATATTTTTATTAATATATTCTACATTATTATTCAATTATATAATATAATAATTTATTAATATATTGTATGTATTTATAGCATATATTATTTTTAGATTTTATATTAGTTTAGATTAATTACTATTAGATTATTATTAAATTGTAATTAACATATTCTACTATTTTTACGTCACTGAAATTCATGTTAATTTTCAATTATATTTTTCATGTCTATTGGTATAATATGTAAATAAAAATGTTGCATTTTAAAATTATACAAGAACATAGAAGCAGACGGTTGGACTCATGCATATAAAACCAATACAGTTTTACATTATAATAATATATCATACATTTTATGTGTGTGTATATATATATATATATATACATATATATATATACATACATATTATTTTTAGATTTTATATTATTTTCGATTATATATTTAGATTATTATTAGATTATTATTAGGTTGAAATTAATGTTAATTTTACTATTTGATTTGTCAGTGTTAGAATTGGTAATTGAAAATGTTAGATTGTTATAATTTGTAATTAAAAATGTTTGTAATTAAAAATGCTACATTTTAAAATTAGAAAAGAATGTAGAAGCATTTTCACTAGCAGTCTCCGACTTTTGGACTGTATATATAAACCAATACAGTTTTATATCTATGAAAAATGCAAACAACACTATCACTTGCCTTCTACATCACACTACATATTGCTGCATTTCTGTAGCGGCAGCATCAAAGATTCACACTCTGATAGACAAACTTTGCAGCAGAAAGCAAACCTCAGTCCATCATGCTGTCTATAGAGGAAAAGTGCACGAATATGACACATACAGAGCAAAGAATTCAAATGTTATGGGAAAATAAAGGACTTTTTAAAGGACTCATTTTGTAGCAGTAGCAGTATTACCATTACAATGCATTATGCAGGGAGAGTATTACATCATCGCCTGTTCTTTACACAGACACCGAGAGCATCGGCTTCCTGGAGTTTCCCCTGTAGTACCCCAACGGGGTTGCAGCTCCTAGGGAGATTCGACCTGATTTGAATAGAGTAACGTAGCTTCCCTTGCCGTAGAAGAAACTGTTGTCTGATTTCATGAAAAGCCCATTCAGCTAGCTGGATGTATGCGAGCAATTGTGCAAGTTACATCCGCCAAAATCTCTCCTCAAACTGCCACCGCTTGCAAAACAAAAAAGCAGATTGGAGTCATACACGATTCCGTGAAGGAGCTGAGCGAGAGAGAGAGAAACTACAAAGTAGCCTAAAATCTATTCATGAGGTGTCAGCTTTCAACAGCATGTTGACACATGCCTACATCTCCTAGGAAACGGTTGCCCCAAGCGCAGTTATCAGCGCAGTTCTGTGGCATGCAATTATCCAATTATCTCCCTCCCCTGAATCAGCACATCAAATCACATGACAGATCTTTTTTTTCTTGTTTTCTTTTTTTTGCAAGGTCCTACAACACCTTCTCATTTGCATGTAGCACTTGTCCTTCCAGTTCTCACTGTTTCTCAGCTTCATTTTCACTTTCCTTCGCCGCAATCTTTTGTTTCTCTTCCACTTTAGATCAGAACATCCTTATATGCTTTCCGTTTCACCATCTATTTTGCGTTCACTTGGTGCAATTTAGCTAGAATGATCATAAACTGTTAAATAAATAGCGCCGTCACTCTGCAGCGAGTGCGTCTTTTTTAATAGTTAGCTTTCGCCTGCTTTCTAAATCAATCCCCTCCCTTTCCTTTCTCGCTCGTCCCCTCCTCCCTCTCTCTCTGCTTATTTCCAGGAGCAGCTTGAGTCCTGCTTTTGGCTCTGCAGGCCTGCTTTGAGAGTCTCTGACTCACAGCAGTGCAGTTCTGGAGCAGCCCTCCTCTCTGGCGGTGAGGCCGGCTGGAGGAGCCAGGGAGAGGGGCCGCTGTCACAGACCTCTCGCCCCCTTACATGCTGGGCATCGGGGCTCAGCGCGCATTCAGAGCCCTTCATCTGTCCACCATACAAGCCCAGGATCTGTCTGTCAGAGAGAGTGCATGAATTCAACTTGACGTCAGCATGAAATGGCGTCCACAGCGTGTTTTTCTTCCAGTAACAGCACATATTTCAGAGTTAAAGATGATGTTTGATGAGAAAAAGATGAAATGGTTAAGTGGGCGATAAAAATAAGAGGGACCAGTGAGCGAGATTTGACTAAAGATTGAGACTTTTTTTGTTGAAATAAAGTGCATTTATAAGTAAAACACAGTAAGAACATGGAATAGGATCCATTTTTATTTTATGTGAACTTTCAGGACTGTGAGCTACTTCAGAAATAATGCTGGATAGAGTTTTGTGCTTTACACAATTATAACCTGAAACAGTGAGAACGGAAGGAGCGGGAAGAAGAAAAAAAGTGACATTTATTGAAGAGAGAGAGAGAGACACATGTGGTGAGGTTGAGAGAAGGTTCAAGACAGACAGCGAGCCGGAGTGGGAAGGGTTGGACTTGTGCTGTCAGTTGTGCTGCGCTGCATTTTCTTTTGTAAACACAAACGTGTGTGCTGCTTTTCTTCCTTCTTTCTGCTACACTCCAGTACCTTCTGCAAATGCTCCCGTCATATCAGCTAACAATGCCAAAGAGCCCTCAGAGGGAGGCCTGAGGCCCAAAGACGGGGAAATATGCAAAAGGTGGAATAAAAACGACCTTACGTAAGACTGACGGGGCAAAAAGGCTGTTACTGCCAGTTTCACAGAGCTTAACATTGCGTGCCTTTTTGTTTGGGTTATAATGAGAAAGAAGTGAACGAAAGAGTGACTATATTATAATAGGTAAAAATCGTGACAGGAATAGAAAAATTTTCACAGCTTGTAAGGAACTAAGAAATGGCTAAATCGATGCAAAATTTTATTTACATTTGTAACTAAAGTAATGTTAAATACAGGAAAATATAGAATTTGTAATATTTAAAATGCTCACAATGAGCCCTTTCTATTGTTCGTTTTATACACATAAAAAAAATCTGTTATCTACACACTGAGAGAAAATTGTCAGGTTAACAAGTAACTTCACTCTAATAATAAATAAAATTGAAATAACAACTGAAAAAAATACCAGCATCTGACACGGAAGCTTAAGGGTTAAGGGTAAAGTGAACTGAATTGTAAGAAGTTGGTTTCCAGGGGAACTATTCTTACTGTTCCAGCTGAGTTGGGTTAAACCACTTTGCTTTCAAAAAGGGGGACGACAAACACCCACAACACGTATTTCTTTCATAACAGTTTAGAGCAAAACAGAACAAGGACTGGGACAGTAACTAAAACCATGTGCTGTCCTGCTTTATAATATTCAGACTGTTCTTAAACTATTTGCGCGGTTTTAACGGGTTTAAATATGCTCGTCTCCCCCGCAGCCGCTCTGTGCTGGCGGCCCTGCCAAGTCAGTTTGAAAAGATCAGACAAAGGCAGCAGGAAGCCCCTCGGCTTGGCAATGAGTGCGAGCGCAGCACAAACGCGAAACGAAACCTCACTCTTTTATCTGATAGCGGACTGAATTTATTTTCTCCCGAGGTTTGTGGCAGTTTTAGACATCTTTTGAAAATGTACGACCGTCTGGATCCCCGGGTCGAGCGAAGACTATTATCAAAGCGCCAAACGGGCAGCAGCGCTGCCTGACCGCCCGTTCGCTGTCGATCTGAATCGGATCAAGCGTCTTTTGGGGGGCATTTTTGCATTTGAATCCTTCCCACACCACTGAAAGTATCACTCGGGACGGAGAGTTGTCGATTTACACAGTTAAATGTAAAAAGAAAAGCTTGGGGAGCTTTCTAAAAGCCTTTTTTTTTTCTCCTGAGGGGACTACCAGCCGCGACGGTGACCGTTGGTGGGGGTTTGCCGCCGTTTGTTTTCTTGAGCGCGTGTGGAAGATGGAGACGCACATCTCGTGCCTCTTCCCGGAGATTTTAGCCATGATTTTCAGCTACTTGGACGTGAGGGACAAAGGCAGAGTGGCCCAAGTGTGCACGGCGTGGAGGGACGCGTCCTACCACAAGTCCGTGTGGAGAGGGGTGGAAGCCAAGCTGCATCTGAGGCGGGCGAACCCGTCCCTGTTCCCCAGCCTCCAGGCGAGAGGCATCAGGCGCGTACAGATCCTCAGCCTGCGGCGCAGCCTCAGCTACGTGATCCAGGGGATGCCCAACATCGAGAGCTTGAATCTGAGCGGCTGCTATAACTTAACGGATAACGGCCTGGGGCACGCGTTCGTGCAGGAGATCCCTTCCCTGAGGGTGCTCAATCTGAGCCTTTGCAAGCAGATCACGGATTCCAGTTTGGGCAGAATAGCGCAGTATCTCAAAAACTTGGAGGTGCTGGAACTGGGCGGCTGCAGTAATATCACGAACACGGGCTTGTTGCTCATCGCGTGGGGTTTGCACAGACTCAAAAGTCTTAATCTGAGGAGCTGCCGGCATGTGTCGGACGTGGGCATCGGGCATTTAGCCGGCATGACCCGGAGCGCGGCGGAGGGCTGCCTCAGTCTGGAATACCTGACCTTGCAGGACTGCCAGAAGTTGACGGACTTGTCCCTCAAGCACATTTCGAAAGGCCTGACCAAGCTCAAAGTGCTCAACCTGAGTTTCTGCGGAGGCATCTCGGACGCTGGCATGATCCACCTCTCTCACATGACGAGCCTGTGGAGCCTTAATCTGCGTTCGTGCGACAACATCAGCGACACGGGCATCATGCACCTCGCCATGGGCACGTTGAGACTCTCTGGACTCGACGTGTCGTTTTGCGACAAGATAGGCGACCAGAGCCTGGCTTATATCGCGCAGGGCCTGTACCAGCTCAAGTCGCTGTCGCTGTGCTCGTGCCACATCAGTGACGATGGCATCAACAGGATGGTGCGCCAAATGCACGAGCTGAGGACGCTGAACATCGGCCAGTGCGTGCGGATTACAGACAAAGGACTGGAGCTGATCGCAGACCACTTGACGCATCTGACCGGCATCGATCTGTATGGATGTACGAAAATCACTAAGAGGGGACTGGAGAGGATCACGCAGCTCCCCTGCCTTAAAGTTTTGAACCTGGGCCTTTGGCAGATGACTGAAAGTGAGAAAGTGAGGTGAAACTTGGGGGGTTTCTGGAAGGAGGGAGGGAGGGAGAGAAGGAGGGTGGGAGGGGGATGGGTGAATTTCAATAGAGCAAAGTACATAAAAAGAGGCTCAAAATGCTGAATGTGATACACGTGTCAGTTATTGCTATTAACACACAAAAAAAGTTTTTTTTCTTAACAAATCGCAATATTAAACCTCCACGAGTCTCGCGATATTTTGGCTACCTCGTTAGATGTATTATATTGTTATTCTTAAGAAGAATGAGAATTTGTGCCTAGAAAAACAATCCCCTCCCCCTTTATCTCGTCTTTGGCTTAAGGAAAGCAAAAAGACTGAAAGAAAAAATGGATTCAGACTATCTTTTTTATGTCCCTTCCTTCAGATAGCCAACAAAAGGCGTTTCAAAACAAGTCTATGGGTAGTTGACCTCAAATTTCAAGCAGTTTTGCAAGTGTCCTGTGATGTGACAGTTCACCTTAAAATTTTTTAATTCTTCAGTTCATCTGTAATTATTAAACAATGCCGTTTTGTGATCTTGAATTAATTGAGTCTACATGCAATATCTGTACTTAAAAAAAAAATGAAGTAGTGTTTTAATATGAGAAAGAAATAGTGACCAGTCCCAGTCACACATTTTTCCTCATACATTGTATAAATGACAAGACTAAAATCTTCAAAAGTTAATGGACATGCTATATGTCAACTACCCTTATGCAAAGACAGACAGAAATACTGGGTTTGTACACTTAAGCTTTTATATTTCCAATCTCTTTTAGTTTTTGCTCAATTGTACAGGCCTGAAAGCCTTTAATTCCTGCTTTGAATAAGAGGTTCCCTCTGCTGATGTATTTATGCTTATGTAAGCAGATATTAATTAATGGCTGTTATTCAGAGCGTTGTACTTCAAATTGAAGTGAATTTTGTCCCTAAAAAAGAAAAAAAACCCTGTTTGCAATTCACTGACACCTTGTTTGCCTCTTCACAGGGCTGAAACAGGGCGCATCGTGTTATAAAACAATCTTCTCTGTTTTAAATACAATAATATTCAACTTTACATATAAAAGACATGGTCGAAACGAAGGTAACATGCAAAATGCATGTCAGGCCAATATATATGTACCATGATGTATCGACCTGCAACATGTATTGAGTCCTGCTGAGAAGCTACTCTGTTCTAATGTACTGTAAATGTATTTGTAAAAAGAATCCCAAATTAAAATGTTTTATATTCTTACAGTAAAAACATTAAAGTTGATATTTATATAAATGAAAGGGCCACTCTGAATTTCGTTATGGGGAAAGGTTTTTGTGGGTTGTGATTTTTGCTATAATTCATGCATTCAGTTTGGTTTTGTGCCCTTTTGATGCTAAATGTCATAATGTTTAGACAGTATCACAGACAATGTTGCTATAATAGGGTTAGGAGTTTATTTGGTCGATTTCCAATGTAGTGGATTTGAGAAATTAGTGTTTTAGAGGACAATGGAAGTGATATTTGTGTGTTAAGAGCATGCATGTTTGTTACATTATTTATGAAGTGCAACAAAATGGATGCTTCCTTTAATTGTGCTAGTTAAGAGTGTTAAAACTGTAATGCTGCTTTTTACAATTTAAGTCATCCAGTCCAATAATATACATACTGTTAAAGCATCTGATATCAATTTAGTGACTATAACAGTGGATATATTTCACCCACTAAAATATTATAAATCCTGTTCTCAACAGTTGCCATTGTTTCCCTAAGTTAAGAAGCCAGGTTTTATTTTTCCTTCTCCTTGCTCAGTCACGCATACCAGATCTGAGAGACTGGGTTTGTCCCCCCCCCAAGAAAAAAAAATAAAAAAACGCAGCCCACCCCCTTTCCTCAAACAGACACTTTTAAACATTCCTCACCATCATTCAAAGCATTTAAGCTTTAGTCTTTGCTCCCCTTCACCGTCCAGAGGGGTGGAGGATTTAAACGGGGCTCTGAGCGCTTGAAGAGAGCGAGCGAGAGAATTTAAGCCCTTCTGAAGGTTACCGCCACCTCTTTTTACTAACTTTGCTGAGTTCATAGATTTTATTTTCTTTCCCTGGAGCTACAGTTTTTGTTGCATTTTTACAACTGGAGATGTTTGTCAGATGTTCGGATATGTTGCTCACATAGATCCTCTTTAAAGTTTAAAAACCACACTATTTTATGATTTTGCTGAACCGAGCAAGCAGAGCAGAAGAACAGAGAAACGATTACACCAGTGTGTAATCTCACACCACCTTTTTAAAAATAAAAATACCGCTCGGTTTTACTGCTGGGAATTTTAACAAAGCAGTCAGAACATTAGCAGCGACCTGTATAGCTCTCCCTTGCAGCACCTGTGGCTGAAGGTGTCTGTGGGTTACAGTGAGACGCTTTGAAGTTCCAGAAAGGTGGGGTTGGGGGTTATTTTGCTCCTGTCTGAAGTTCCGGGCATTTTAGTTGGCCCATGTGATTTGCCCAGACAGCCTAAATCAAGCACAGATCAAAACAAAATCTAATCATCTGATAAAATTCACTTATTGTTTGATTTGAAAATCACAACGAAAGTCTGATATGTTTGCAGTCAGGGTTAGAGGAAAGGTGGCTGAAAGCCGTGCCTGCCACATCGCTGGAAAATGGACAGGAATTTGTGAGTCACTGTTTGACTTTGCTCTGTAAAAAAAAAAAAAGTATGTGGTGCAAGAACACTGTCTGACTTGAGACCGGCACCGTCTAGCAAACATGGCACATGAGAGATGCTTTAAGTTTGTGTCTCTGTGTGTAGCACTGGTGTTTATTCATTCAGAACAACTGCATAAGGCCAAATGCAAAGGGCATGTGAGCGAAGAGAACAATCTGTTGCTTCATTCTGCACGGGACCAAATTCTTCAGATTGAAACTTCTCTCTGTGTATGAATTAAGCAACAGGAAACTTTTTCACTGCAGGAAAAATAATTTAAAGGGGTGGTTGATTGCGATTTCACTTTTTTAATGTTAGTTAGTGTGTAATGTTGCTGTTTGATCATAAACAATATCTGCAAAGTTACGAAGCTGAAAGTTCCCTTTAAAAGAAAAGTTCCTGGTTCAGTACAAGTTTAGCTCAATCAACAGCAGTTTTTGGCATAATGTTTATTATCACTAAAATAATTTAAACTTGTCCCTTGTTTTCTTTCTTTCTAAAGCAAAAACGTAAAATGGCAGTATTTTTAAAGGATTGCTATTTTTCAATATTTGGAGATTTAAGCACTTACATTTAAAATCTGTATCATTTGAGCTGTAAAGCAGTTTAAATTGTTTTTACAGTCATTGTATGGTTTATTGCATTGTAATTGCAATGAAGTTATAAAACTGGATATAAGTTTACTCAAAAAAATGTTAGAATCATATTTACATGAATATTATGTCTTTACGCTATGCTACACTGTCACCCCCCCCCAAAAAAAAAAATAGGGCACAATATACTGTATTAAAATTAAGGAATTTCCCATATTGATTTTTTACAGGTGTTATACCTGTATTTTAAATTTTGCACTTGTGTTTTACATTGAATGGAAATGTCCAGAAAATTAAAAGACAATGTCCTGGCAGACAATTACCTGTACATTTTCAGTTTTTTCTTTCTTTTTATTTTATAGTGTACTGAAACAGTATTTTAACATTTACGGATTGGCCCCGTTCACCTCCATTGTAAGTGCCTCATTGTAACCAATCTTTTTTAAGAAGATCATTATGCCATAAATACTCATTTAAGCTTAATTTGTACTGAACTCACAATACTTATTTAAGTTGCAATTTTGAAACAGGATTTTATAAAACACAATTGTAGGGTCACGTGTTGGTGGTTAAACAGATTCTTCTGTGGCTTCCGAGTCAGCAAATTCTGATTTTTGACTGTGTTTGTGACTCGTGGCGCACTGAGGGATTTAGGTTTGAAAAGAGTGGAATTAACTCTCTGAAAAGGCGTATGATGGCTAACTGTCTCACATGGCTGTCAGGTTTTAGTCATACCTCTCATTAGAACTGATTCACAGTGGTCTTTTCACACTGCGGACTGGATGACGGCCATATGGCATTTTTACAAGCACACAACTGGTTTACAGCACAAACTGTACGTCAAGTGCTTTTTTTGAAGCAGCCAGATGAAAAGGTAGGTAAAGGCATGTAGATTTGTGTGTGAGTATCGTCTAGGTTTGCTCTGGTTTGTTGCTGCCAGCTCTCCCCCGGTGAGGTTGTGACAGAGTTTGACTGGTGTCATGTGACCTTGCTGGAAGTGTGAGTACAGAGGGGCCGGAGCCAGGAGACCCAGTCTGTCGCCCTCACCCCACCCTTCACACACATGCAGAGACATGAATCCACAGACGCTGTCCAAATTCTAGGCAAAATTTAGGAAAATGAACTATGTGTTATGTCTTGTTAGGGAGCGTTTGGCGGCTCTATCCTCTCAGACACATACACACACAAACTCAGTATCTTAGACTCTATTTTTCTCTTAAAAAAAATAGGACTCAGGCTTGTGTTGCGCCAGTTTTCCCCTTTGTTCTGATTGTATTAGGTGACGGGTCCACATGTTCTGGATCGTATCTGCTTTCATATGCAGTGAAATGCAGCTCTCCGGCAGCACTCTGGAGGCAGGAGGTCTGTGCATGAAAGAAACTTGAGCGCGAGACTGAAAACCACACCACACAACAAAAAACGATATGGGGGGAAAAAGACAACCAGTGATTAGAAGCTTTGTTGCTTATAAACCGCCCATTTTAGCATTAATCCTTGACCTCAAACTGTCAGGCGCACCTTTTACAGTCAAGAATATAAATTCTGACTGAACAGCTGCGATAAAATGAAAAAAATAATGTATAAAAAATAAAAATAATTTTTATTCATATTTATGCATTAAAACTGCATTAGAATACATGCTGTGCATGTATTTTAGCTAAAACAGGAAGAGATGCTTGGGAAACAGGAAGGTAACAGGAAAGAGATGATTGTGAACATACAGAATTGTGTAAGAAAATGGTTTATTTCTTAGCCTCCATGTTTTTCTGTGGCTTGGTTTTATAATTGAAAAGGTTAGCTGATAGACGAGTACATGTGTGTGTGTCCGGGCTTCAGGCCGACTGCACAGGAGGAGATTTGTTGTTACTCAGAGTGTGGGTGGTAGAGAGGGCGTAAGTGTTGTGTGTGGTGCCCGAATCCACTCAGAAAGGGAAGCAATGGAAAGAGAGAGAGAGAGAGAGAGAGAGAGAGAGAGGGAGTGAGCACTAATCTATCTATCTTTCACTTTATTCCTAGAACCTGAGCACAAAAACAGCAGTAAAACTGTTACTAAAATGGACAGCAGACTTTTAATGGTGGTAGAAGTATAACTAAAAACAGGATGCAATATAGATGAGTGAATCATATTAAGATCCTGCTTAAGGCAGTGGTCTGACTCAGCCAGGGAAATTTATAAAGTGTCTGACGTTATCACCATGCGGTATGCAGAGCATTCGTTCTCCCCCTTCTCTCTTTCTCCTCGTTCTGGATCTACTCTCTATCTCACCAAATCTTCAACCGTTTTACATTTCTGACATCTCTGCCCTGTTCTCT